GAGTAATGTGGTTCTAAGTATGGTGTGAAAGATAAGTGGTGTAAGCTATGCTGTGTAAACTGTATGTGGTGTGAGGTATGCTGTGTGACATATGGTGTGTGTACGCTATGTGATATGAGTGATTGAAAACGCCTACGGCGAATCACCGCCGCCCCCTGCCTTCTAGAATCGCTCATGTGGCCAAGCGTTGTGGCAAGAGCTCTGCCAAGCTATCGGACCATGTGCTCCTCCAGCCGTTGCGAAAACCCTTCGGGGAATGTTTGGGGGATGATGGCGGGGAAGAACAGGAGGAGGAGGAGGAAAAGGAGGAGGAGGAGGAGGAACAGGTAGAGGAGGAGAGGATAATGAGGAGGAGAAGGAGGAGAAGGAGGAGGAGGAGGGGGCATCTTGGCAGCCTCTGGGGTCACTTCTGGGGCATCCTGAGAGCTTCCTGGGAGCCTCTTGGAGGCATGTTTGGGGCCTCCTTCCTTGGGCCTCTTTGGGGCCTTTGGGGGCTTCTCGGGAGCGTCTTGGTGGGCTCCTGGCCAGTCTGACGCCGTCGGAAGTTGTCTTGGGGGCCTCTCTGGGCCGACTTGGGCCCTCTTGGGGTGCTCGAGGGCCCTCTTGGAGGCCATTTTGGGCGTCTTGGAGGCCTCTTGGAAAGTCTTGGGGCCATCGCGGGGCCGTCTTGGGGCCCTCTTGGGGCGATCTTGGGGTGCTATTGGGCCAGCTCGGGCCGTCCGTGGGCCGACAAGAAGGTCATGCAACCATCCTTTATACATGTGTATATACATATACTTATACACACATACATATATAAACACAACAGAACAAACAACACAACACAACACAACACAACACACAACGGGGTTTCGGCCGCTTCGGGCCTTCCTGGAGGCCCTCTTGGAGGCCCCTTGGGCCGTCGTGGGCCATCGTAGAGCCATTTCGGGCCGTCTTGGTGGGCTCCTGGCCCGTCTGACGCCGTCGCCAGCTGTATTGGGGGCCTCTCTGGGCCGTCTTGGGCCCTCCGGGGGTGCCCCAGGGCCGTCTTGGAGGCTTTCTGGGCGTCTTGGAGGCCTCTTGAACCGTCTTTGGGGTCCTCTTGGGGCGGTCTTGGGAGCCTCTTGGGCTGTTCTGGGGCCATGCTGGAGGCCTCTTGGGCATCTTGGGGCGATCTTTGGGAGCTTTTGGGCCGTCTCGGGCCGTCGGAAGGCCGAGCAGGCGCAAATACGAAAATCCGAAGGACAGTCAATGATTTTGGCCTCTTCGGGCATTCGTGGAGGCTCTATTGGAGACCCCTTGAGCCGTCTTGGGCCATCGTAGAGCCGTCTTGGGCCGTCTTGGTGGGCTCCTGGCCCGTCAGAGGCCGTCGGGTGTCTTGGGGGCCTCTCTGCCGACTGGGGGGGCCCTCTTGGGGTGCTCCAGGGCCGTCGTGGAGGCTTCCCTTGGGCGTCTTAAGGCCTCTTGGGCCGTCTTGGAGGCCTCTTGGGCAGTCCTGAGGCCATCTTGGAGGCCTTTTGGGCGCTCTTGAGCCGTCGGAAGGCCGAAAAGGAGCAAATACGAAACTCCTTCAAACACTCACATCCATGATTTTAGCCTCTTCGGGTCCTCCTGGAGGACCTCTCGGCGGCCTCTTGGGCTGTCTTGAAGACCTTGGGCAACTCTTGGTTCGTCTTGTAGGCTTCTTGGGTGGACTTGGAAGTATCTTGGGCCCTCTTGGGCCGTCTTGGAGGCCATCTTGGACATCTTGGAGGCATCTTGGAGGCCATCTTGGGCCATCTTGGCGGTCTTGAAAGCCCTATTGAGCCTTCTTGTGATAATTCTTCCAGAAATTGGGCGCCTTCTGGGTAGCCGGCGGGACGGGCCGGAGCCCCAAGGGGAAAATTCGTTTGGAAAAAGAACCCACGCCAAAATTTGAAGAATTCAGCACGCGGGGCACCTTTGTTGCAAGCCAACAGGGGGCGGCGGATCGAAGACCGCCGCCCCCTGCCCTTGTGGAAGCGCCTTTGTGGCCGACAGCTGGGCTAGAGCTTGGCCAAGCTATCGGGCCAGTTGTTCCCCGAGTCGCTTTGGAGAGCCTTCGGGGAACGCGGGGAGCAAGAGGCCCAAGGAGGCCCCCCATGTGTCCGAGCGTTGTGGCAAGAGCTCTGCCAAACTATCGGAACATGTGTTCCCACAACCGTTGTGGAAACCCTTCGGGAAACACTTGGGGGAGGATAGCGGGGAAGATCAGGAGGAGGAGGAGAAGAAGGAGAAGGAGGAAGAGCAGAGGGATGATGATGATGATGATGATGATGATGATGATGATGATGATGATGATGATGATGATGATGGTGATGGTGATGGTGATGGTGATGGTGATGGTGATGGTGATGGTGATGGTGATGGTGATGGTGATGGTGATGGTGATGGTGATGGTGATGATGAGGAGGAGGAGGAGGAGGTGGAGGAGGAGGAGGAAGTGGAGGAGGACGGGGCACCTTGGGAGCCTCTGGGGGCACTCTTGGGGCCTCCTGGGAGCTTCCTGGGAGCCTCTTGGAGTCGTCTTGGGCGCCTCCTTGAGCCTCTTGCGGGCCTTTGGAGGTTTCTCGGGGGCATCTTGGGCCGTCTCAGGGCATTCCTGGCCCGCCCGACGCCGTCGGAAGCCCCAACCCTCTCTGGGCCGATTGAAAACCCTCTTGGGATGCTCCAGGGCCGTCTTGTGGGCGTCTTGGAGGCATCTTGGCCCGTCTTGTCGCCCTCTTGGAGCCGTCTTCGGGGCCTCTTGGACCGTTCTGGGGCCGTCCTGGAGGCCGCTTGGGCGATCTTTCTGGGCTCTTGGGCCGTCTCGGACCGTCGGAAGGCTGAAAAGAAGCAAATGCCAACATCCTTCAAAAACCTGAGGATAATCAATGATTTTAGCCTCTTCGGGCCTTCCTGGAGGCCCTCTTGGAGGCCTCTTGGGCCGTCGTGGAGGCCTGCCTCTTGGGGGCCTTTGGGTCCGTCTTAGAGCCATCTTGGGCCGTCTTGGTTGGCTCCAGGCCCGTCAGAGGCCGTCGGAAGGTGTCTTGGGGGCCTCTCTGGGCCGACTGGGGGGGCCCTCTTGGGGTGCTCCAGGGCAGTCTTGGAGGTTATTTTTGGGCGTTCTGGAAGCATCTTGGGCCGTCTTGTCGCCCTCCTGGGGCGATCTTGGAGGCCTCTTGGGTCGGTCTGGGGCCATCTTGGAGGCATCTGGGGCGCTCTTGGGGCGATCTTTGGGGCTCTTGGGCCGTCTCGGGTCGTTGGAAGGCAGGAAAAAAGCAAGTGCCACATCCTTCAAAACCGATGGGAAATCAATGATTTGGGCCTCTTGGGGCTCTCTTGGGAGGCCTCTCTTGGGGCTCTCTTGTGACGCTTTGGCGGCCTCGTGGGCCATCTTGAGACAATATTGGGCCTTCTTGAGCGCTCTGGGCAGCTTCTTGGACGAACTTGGAGGCATCTTGGACTCTCTTGGGCCGTCTTGGAGGCCATCTTGGACCATATTGGCCGAGTTTGGAGGCCATCTTGGCCGTCTTGGAGGCTATCTTGAGCCGTCTTGGAGAGGTGTTTGCGGGCGATGTGCTCGTTTGCGCTCGATTGTGCGGCCTTATGGTCCCTTTCGGGTGGCCGGCGCGCTGGGCCGGAGCCCCAGGGCAGAGTTCTTTGGGCAGGAGAACCAAAAACAACACCGAGAGGGTCCAGCACGCCGGGCACCCCTGTGGCAAGCCAACAGGGAGCGGCGGATATCTGCTTGGGTTGCGGATCGTAGGCCTCCAGGATGTTCGGTGGGATGTCGCGGGAGGCCTCTCGGGGACCTCTTTGGGGCCGTTTTTAGGTCTCGTGGGGGCCGTTTGGGGGTCTTTGGGGGCGTCTTGGGGGCCTCTGGGGGCCTCCTTGGAGCATCCTGGGGCCCCCTTGGGGCGGAAGGCTCGGATTTTCGGTTCATTTTCGTTCTCTTGGGCCCTACTTGGGTCTGTCGTTGGGCCCTCTTCGGCTGTCTTGGGCGCGTCTGGGGCCGTCCTGGAGCCCTCTTGGTCCGTCTAGGCCCCCTTTTTGGAAGCCTTTTTGGGTGGTCCTGGGGGCCTCTTGGGCCGTCTTGGGGCGTCGGAAACTCGAAAAGCAGAGGATCCCAAAGAATTGAAAAAAATGGTTAGGGAAACAACTGATGTTGGCTTCTCGAGGCCTTTTTGGGAAGGATCTTGAGGCTCCCTTGGGACGCCTCGAAGGCTTCTTGGGCCGTGTTGGGCCCATCTTGGGCGTCTGGGACCGTTCGCGCGGCGATTCAGGGCCCTCTTAGACCGTCCAGGCGGACTCTTTGCGCACTGGGCGCGTCTTGAGGTCATCTTGGGACCGAAAAGGTCACGCGACAAGCCGCGACGCACCCCAGGGGGTACGCGGCAAGCCCCAGAAGATTTGAGAAATTTGGGGTCGGAGCCCCTTATCCTCAGGATTGAGGGCTGAGGCTCCAAGGGATCGAGCAAGGGGCCTGAGGACACTCCAACGCGTGTCTGTAAGTGATGTGGCGTGGGTTGTGTGGTGAAGGCTACGCAGTGCTAGCTATGTGGTTGAAACTATGTTGTGTAAGCTAGATGGTCTGAGCTATGTGGCGTGCTTATGTAGTGCTAGCAATGCTGCGTAAGCTCCGTGCGGGGGGCGAGGAGGAGCAGGAGGAGGAGGAGAGAGCGGGAGTGGCGAGGAGAATGAGGAGGATGAGGAAGAATGGGGATGAGGAGGTGGTTCAATGAGGAGAGCGAGGAAGAGTGGGAGAAGGCGCAAGCTTGGCCCTTGGGAGACGGGGGGGTGCAGGAGGAGAGGGGACGTGGAGGAGGAGGAGGAGGAGGAGGAGGAGGAGGAGGAGGAGGAGGAGGAGGAGGAGGAGAGGAGGAGGAGGAGGAGGAGGAGGAGGAGGAGGAGGAGAAGAAGAAGAAGGAGGACCTGTGTAAACCCAAGACGCGTGATCGACGGTGCAACCAACTCTCCCTCCAAGTTCCCTTGTTTCACAGGCCCCTACAAGAAAATAGTTTCACTGTGGGGAGCCACCCAGTGGAACACAACCGTCTGAGAATTTAGAATCGCACCAACATGCCAATATTGGGACTTCAACGCCGCGAGTCAGCTGGATCGTTGCGTCCTGGTAATTCTAAATCCTGTCTGAACACCATTCCTGAGACTACACAGCGAATCAACGTGACCGTGGCGTCCTGGAAACTTTAAACCGTGGCAGAACACCGTCCCAGGGACTTGAACACGGATCTGAAACTGCTTCAAACTTGTCAGCCAAACGTGCACGGCGCTCGGCGAGAGCCACACTTTGAAAAGGAACGGCCTTCCATCCGTGAGTTGGTATGCGAACTTCAGCGAATGTGCGCGGCGCTGGGGCGAGGGCCACACTTTGAGCACCACCTGCCGTCCATGCTTTTGAGCTGTTGCTCACTTTCAGGACGCATGCGCGCGGCGCTACGGCCACAGCCACAATGCTAGAGCGACCCGCCCTCCATCCTTGAACTTGTTTATTAATCGCTTCGCTCATTCCGCCGGCCCTGGAGCGCTATTTGGGGCCTCTTGGGGCCGTCTTGGGGGTTTCTTGGGGGCTTCTTGGGAGCGTCTTGGGGCTCCTTGGCGGCGTATTGGGCCCCCCTGGGGCCTCTTTGGGGGCTCTTGGGGGCCCCTTGGGGCGGGAGGAGGGGGGGGTGCCGATTGCAGCCCCCCCTCGGAGGCCACGATTCTCGTGAGGGATGGCGAAAAATAGCCTCCCCCCTGGGGATCGCCCGGGAACCAGCCGGGGATCGGCCGGGGTACTTTTCGTCCGGGGCCCCCCAGGGGCCGCCCCGCGCGCGCGAACTAGAAATATTGTTAAGTAGTTGCCGGGGATCTTAGCACGCCTCTGGCCCGTTGGGCCGGCGAATTTGTATAAAAAAGAATGTGCGCGGCGCTGAGGCGAGAGCCACATTCTTCCTCCTCCTTTTGAAACCGACCCGCCCTCCATTGGTCTAACCATCGTGAATGTCAAGCTTCACGGTCAGTCAGTGGTGGGGAAGTCTCGGGCGAAACGCCAGGCCCGCCTTGCCGACCCTTCTGGGTGTGACAGGGAGGAGATGTTTATGGAGATTGGATGGAGGAGAACGAGGAGGGGGAGGTGGACGTGGACGATGATGATGATGATGATGATGATGATGATGATGATGATGATGATGCTGATGATGATGATGATGATGATGATGCTGATGATGATGCTGAGGATGAGGATGAGGATGAGGATGAGGATGAGGAGGAGGATGAGGATGAGGATGACGATGAGGATGAGGATGAGGATGAGGATGAGGATGAGGATGAAGATGAGGTTGAGGATGAGGATGAAGATGAGGATGAGGATGAAGATGAGGCTGATGAGGAGGAGGAGGAGGAGGAAAAGTGAGAAGGAGGTGGAAGACGAGGAGGAGGAGTAGGAGGAGGAGGAGGAGGAGGAGGAGGAGGAGGAAGAGTGAGTAGGAGGCGGAGGACGAGGAGTTGTGGGAGGGCCGTCCTTGCACAGGGCCTGGGAGCCGCCCAACCTCCCCCCTCAGGTGAAGCAGAGCCCCCAGGGCAAGGGCGAGCCGTGCGCGAAGGACCTGGCGGCCGGGGCCCCTCGGCAAAGCTCCTGCGCGCGCGCGGCCCCCTCGCTCAAGCAGTGGCGAAGCGTCCTGGCTTGCCTGTAGGCCCACCAAAGAATGTTGTAAGAGCCTCTTGCGGTCTGCGCGACATGTTCTTAGAACACTACTGGCCGATATCGTTTTGTTTTGGCAAAGCGGACGCACGTTCTAAGAACATCGTTTTCGTTCTTGGCACATTTTGGAATTCTAAGGAACTTTCGTGGTAGGCCCATACTGGAATGCCGGGACGGCTGGAACACGCCATCGACTTGCCAGGAGGCGGCTTCAGTCAGGCCCGCGCTGTGAGCAGCATCACGACGGCAGAGTCGAAGAGCAAACAGCTGCACAGACATGAGCTTTCGGAGTTCCGCGCGGAGTTCTTGGATCTGGGCTGACTCCCCCCGCCCTGGCGGCGCTTCTGAGGCCGCCCGTGGCGCCAGGAGGGGGATCCAGCGCAGATCCAAGAAGTCAGCGCGGACCTTCCAACGTTTATGTTGGTGCAGCTGTTTGCTCCTCCAGGGTGTTTTTTTTTTGGGGGGGGTGCTCGGCCTCCGAGGGGCCCTCGCCGGGCCCCACGGCCCTCGACAGAGAAGAGCTCGCGACGGAAAGCCAGCCCTGGGGAGAGGGTCGGGACTCCCAGAGGGGCCCGTACCGAACAAGGCAAGGCATCGGGTGTCTGCGAATTGGTCCTGAGGGTTGCGCGGGTCCCGAGGTTCTCGCTGTCCTTGGTCCCTGGGGCCTCCTCCTCCTCCTCCTCCTCCTCCTCCTC